GGTATTCTATTATGTAATTGCTACTCCCTCCATCCCATAAAAAGGTTTCACATTTTCTTACAACCTAAATTAAAGTTCCATTTTTCATTTATGGAAAAGTTTGTGGCTTATATGATTTCTCTCCATTGCACCAACTTCAATCCCACAATTACACTTTTAATTAATAATCATGCCGATTCTAGTGTGGAACCTTTTTGTGGGATGAAGGGAGCACTTGCAAGTGTCCTTTGAACTTTCTCTGATAAAAACATTCACGGCTTGCTTTATTGCTAATTGTTACCTTCCATTTTCAAGTGATGAATTGGAACGACATGAAGATTATTTTTTGAAGTTGGTGATTGAACTCCTTTCTGCTTATGAGGTAAGTGGCTGGTCTTGCATAATAAGCCGTTAACCAAAGCTTTAGGACATGTAAAAATCAAGTTCTTTGGATGATACCAGTTTTTCTTGTACAGAGAGAATTAAAGCCTAATATTGATCGGATAGGAAAGTATGTGGAAAACTTGAGGAGTTTTGGCAAGGGGTAATGAAGTCTTTGTATATTGTCAGTTTGTGTTGATCTGTACTCTATACATATCATATTCTTTCATATGTTATATTAACTCTCAAATTAACAAAACAGCTCAGTGATGGTGGAGCATGATGACTCAAACACATTGAACCCCCGAAAAAATCTCGAGGAGGAATACCTTGATTATGAAGCTAAGGTAATTTTGCTTCTGATTTTGTTCAAATGCTATTCAGATGTGCTTCTGGATTCTTTGACAAATAGGAAATGTATGTTGCCTCAGCAGTCCTGTTCTTGCAATTCATGAATACATCTGTTTTAACTGCAGATTATAACCACCTTCAGTGTGGTGGATAACATGAAGGAGCAGTTCTATTCTCACCAAGAAAAATTCTCCAGGTTTCCTTGTTAATGGCCTCCATCCATAAGCTGATGTCACTTTCCTTGAAAATTTACTCTTAGGGTCTGTTTGGAATACGAAATATGCTATAGAAAGAAAATAAGATGGACAATGTGTAGATTAAGAAGGAAAATGTGGGGGCACATAAAAATGGGTTCTTACTCAATAAATTTATTACTATTAATTTTCAAATTCATTTTTTTTATTTATTTTTTAATAAAAATACTAAGAAACTTGAACGTATATAACAAAAATTTAAAAATTAAGCACATACTGTATATCATTAGCCTTTGTATTTTTTCAGCTTCCTATCATTTTTGATGATCCAGACATACCCTTGGGATTCCATTTTGAACTCGAAAGATGTTAGGGAAAGAAAATATGGAGCAAAGTAGAGACTTTGGGAGGGAATAAAATGTGGGAGGAAAATTGGTCCAAACTTATTAAATATTCCCTCCGTCCCAAGTTTAAGTTCTCAGTTATTTGATAAATAAGTTGAGCCTCTTGTTTTATTTTTTATGTTATTTTTAAATATATATTTTCCAAGGTAAAATCAAGCATTGAAAAACAGTTCCCTAAACATTCTTTTCTTCCGTACCAATTTCCAACTTCCAAGCATAGCCTTGATGAATAAAACTAGTTCTTGATGTGCCTTTTTTTCCAGGAAAAGTGATTCAGAAGTGAAGGAGCTTTTTGACAAGATTGAAAAGTTGAGAGCAGAATTTGAAACAATTGAGAGACCTAATCTTGAAATGGAGAATCCATGCCCAGAATCTTCACCCAGTGAAAGGCCACAAGAAAGCCTGACAAATCCTGCAACCAAATTGGCTGAAAAGGAGCAAAATGAACCACGGGAAACCAACGTTCAGAAGAAGGAACCACCAGCTGTCAAATCGGAGGAGGTTCTAGATGCCAATGCAGAATTGGCCGAATTAGAGGCTGAATTTGGACATGTCAATAGGGATAATAACTCTGGAGAAGAGGTTGGTGACTGGGAATTTGATGAACTGGAAAGAGAGTTGAGAATGGAGGATTCTGGAACCCACAAATAGAAATTTCAAAGAACTTAGTTATTATACCAAAAAAAAACTCTCATGAATAATCCGCAACTATGTTATACTTGGGATAAATTACATTCTTAGGCCCGAGGTTTAACGAAAAAGTTGGCCTGGGAATTGCCTTCATGTATTCTGAAATGCAGTACCGTTATTAATTTCCATGTAAATACTCAAATTACAGGAATTTCTTTTGGATATGAAAAATATTTAACTGCCAAATTTCCTGCTCAGCTAGGTTCATTGGCACTTCTGTTTCTCTAAATGCAATTGCTTGTGCTACATATGGGATTTCTTTTTCAACTTGAATGTCACTTCTATCTAGATGCAGCATACATTGCATGCATGGTCTGATGAAGAAATTCAAGATAGGTTTGGTGATTCTTGATGGGGACGAAAGGACGATGTTCCTCTCATGGAAGGAGGTGCAAACAACACAAACAGGTGGGTATATGATGATCTTTGATTATGATGTACTTTTCCTGAAATAGAAAGCTGAAATTTGCCTCTTTTCCCTTTGCAGGGCAACATTATTTACCCTGGGCCTCCCAATGCTTCAAAAGCCGAACTCAAGGCCCTCCGAAAGCGGTGTTAAAGTTAAGCTCTGGTACAAAACTTACTATAATTCCAAGTGAGAAATCCGCCTGCCCTAATTTTGGCGCCATAGCTTTTCGCTCTACCAGGATAACTTTTCGCTCTACCAGTCACACGGAGAGGTGGATGGACTCAGGTGAATTTTCACCCGAGCCATTGCCATCTCTAAAAGGTAGAGGGAGGAGTATACGAGTTATTCTATGGTACAATCCTTAATTAGTTCATCACCGGAGAAGTATGTTCAGTAAGTACAAATTAGTGCTCCCCATGTCACAAGCATTGTACATTAAAGAAAACTTAAATGCTCACAAATTAAAAAATTACTAATTCCTCACTTATTTACATGGGGTGAACATTATTTTTGTACCTACACTTGGATGAATGAATTTCTGAAAGTATATAAAGTGGGGAAAAAGAGTATCTATCATCCATCCCTTCTGAAAAAGGTCTCATATTTCTTTCTTTTTTTAATCACAAAATAGGGTTCTGCCTTTTGAAGAAAATGATTATATCGTTTCATCATTTCCGGCACAAGGAATTTTTTATGTGAAAATGTTCATGTTTACTATAAGATCAAAATTATAAATGGCCAAAACAAAGGTTTTCTCTTCCTCTATATTTTTTTTCTCATTTTCCTTTTTAGGCCGTTTTATAGTAGTATTTTCTCTTTGTTTCCTTGAACAAAAATAATATACTTACTCTGTCTCAATTTAAGTTACATTTTTATTAGTCATAGGGTCAAATTTTAACCACGTTTTTTTTTACACATTTTTGCTACTCATTTGAACTTTACCCACATTTTTAAACATATTTTCGCTACTCGTTTGATAAATAATAGTCTTGTCATCTCTTATTTTGAAAAACATTTGATGTAATTTTTAAATATATAACTAAGTAATTTTTATTTTTTATTTCATTCTAATTTTTAAATAAACTTATTTAAAAATTATTTCAATCAAAGTTTATAAACAACAATAGACAATTTAAATTAAAATAAATGGAGGGCACTTTTTTACAACTAAGAACTATTCTACCCTTACTTTTGCACTAGTCACCTTGTTTACATCTCTCTTCAATTTATTACACTACAAGTGTCAACTTGGTCACAAGACAACACAAGGTTCTTGTGACACTAGATTTTCATGTTATATAAAACTTTCAAATAGACCGGTGTCATACTATTACCTCACATTAATCTATCTTTAGTGTTGGTTAAACTTAGAAATGAAAGAGATGTTTTTTTTCCCAGTGACAACACCCATTTACTTGCAAACAAGTCCCACACAATGTTGTAGAATTCACATTTTATATATATATATATATATATATATATATATATATATATATATATATATATATATATATATATATATATATATATATATATATATATATATATATATATCACATTCTCCTGGCCTTCCTGAAGGTTAGGGACAAAAAGTGTCAGAAATTTGAAAATCTTCAATAGTAAACAATGAAACAGTAGGCCATATCTCTCCCTCCTCTGAAACATCATCATCATCATCTTCTTCTTCTTAAAGTTTTATTGAACAGAATAATCCATTGAAGAGAAGAAGGCAGCCTTTTTGACCCATCATCTTCTCACCTCCATTTCTCAGGGACTCTTTCTTTCACTGCTTCCAACCCCTTCTCTCCTCCTCTCATCATCATCATCATCTCAGATTGCATAAATCCGCTCAATGTCCGAGTTAGAAAACTCAGAGTGAACCCAAGAGTTTCTTGAAGTACTCCTCTCTCTCTTCTTCGTGGACCGGATCTTTCTAGACCTCACCACATAGTACGTCATCGTCCCGAGCACCGCGGTCATTATGGTCCCGCCCACACACGTGACCAACACCGCGGCCCACTCGAACTTCCTCCCCACCACTATATAGGACGAAGCCATGAACGCCACGGAAGTGCACACCGAAGCCAACCACATGAGCTTGTTTATGATCTCCACCACCCTCCTCTCTGCCTTCGTCTCCCCCCTCACAAGCGTGATCTGGACCACCACCACCGCTAGGGAAGTGAAGAGTGCGATGGCGTTGAAGATGAAGAAGATCTGGAAGGAGGTGTGGGCCACGGCGACTGCCATCCCGTTGTCGTTGTCGCCACCGGGGACGGTGAATATGGCGGCGAACGCCACTGTCGCGAAGAGGACGGCCACCACCGTTACGGAGTTAGTGGCATTGTTTATCCCCTCGCGGTGGAGTTTCCTCAGCTCTTTGGCGATCCCGTAGACATTCTTGTTGGTCTTCATGGTTTGTTCCAGCTGAGTGTGGACATCTTTCCTGATTTGGCTCACGGTGTTCCTAAGTTCGTCTCTTGGTTGGTTCAACTCGTTGGCTCGCACCGCGCCATAACGGCAGAGGCTATGCTTTATATCTGAGGACTCTTCTGAGAGGGGGAGGTCTTCTGCAATGTCTAGGGCTGTTTTGTGGTCTCTGGTCAGTGCGTTGACATTCATGTCGGGCAGACGCAGTAACTCATTCACAATCTGCATTCAAGTGGAGGAATGTTTTGAGCACTTGAAAAGATAACATGAGCTTATCAAAGATTCATTAATGTAGTTTAATGAAGATTTAAAAGGGCAACTAACAAATGATGATTTAAAAAAATTGAAAAGCTTTTAAGAAAGAGCCTTTTTAGGAAGGGCCATTTGGGGCTTTGCCCCCAAAGGAATTCCCTCAACAATTGTTGGGGTGGGGAGTTGAACTCACGACCTCTTGTTGGCACTTTGCATTCATAACTTGCAACACTTTTCGGTTGTGCCAGGCTACAGGAGTTAAGAATAACACCTAGTCTTTAGTACAATGTCTAAAGCAATACAAACCTTAAGACTTAAAGAGTGTTAGGAATATTTGTCGGAAGAAGCATTTTGGTATTGATTTCTCCGGTTTACTATAAATACATACATGTGTGTGTGTGTGTTTGAGAGACAGAGAGAGGAAGTCACCTACATGTTGGGAACTCATAAGAAAACAGAGCTTTACTATATGTATATACCAAATATGGAGTATATCCTAGATGAATGTTATTTTATATTCTTTTCTTAATTTCCTAACAAAGGGCCCGTTTGGAAAGAGTTTTTCATACAAAAAGTAGACTAAGGGTGCATTAAATGCAGCTCTAAAACATAATACCAGGGCTGTGAAATGCTAGTTTTTTCTCTTTGGAAATAAGAGATCTTTAGTTCAAATAACAAGCCCCCCCCCCCTCTCCCCCAAAAAAAATATGAAGGAAGGCATAGACGACAAGAAATGAAAATAGTACCTCCACGCGCTTCTTCCGGGTAGCAACATGTAATGCAGTGTTCCCTTTCTTGTCTGGAAGCATAACAATCGCAGCATCGGCGTTGAGAAGCAATCTTACCACTTCACAGTTAACCCCCTTCACGGCCATTTGCAAAGCTGTTTGGCCTTTCTTGTCTGTCCTTCTAGCCAGTTGTGGATCTTTGTCAAGCAATGCCTTGACAATCTCCACATGCCCTTGTCTCGCAGCTAAATGCAATGCATTCTTCCCATTGGATCTCGAAATCTCAACCAATGTGGAATCCTTCACAAGCAATTCATTCACCACATCTATGTGTCCTCTTGCTGCTGCCGTTATAAGGGGTGTGGCATTTGAAGGCCCGATTGTTTTGCTTAGTTCTGGATCATGGTCCAATAGTACTTGCACAATGGCTGAATACATGAGCGAGAACAAGATGCAGATTAAAAAAATGATTAGCATATTTGATTTATTAATTTTTAAAAAAATAATATCGGACCAACGCTTAGTATTGAACAAAAGAATAAAATATACTCCGTACTTTGTAATTTTTCTTTGAAAACTTCAAGAATGAAATCATTAGGATCGTTTAGTGAGAGTTATCTGGTAGAAATAAGAGAATTTTCTGTAAGGGAAAAACATTCTGCAACATCCATTTCAGCCAAAGAAGCAAGTCAAGTCAGTAGCTACACAGTCCACTGATAATCAAATAAGCAAAACAAGACATAGAAGGCTATCAAATGGAGCCTAAATTCCAAATCCGGCATCATGATCATCATAGGTTATACATACACACTTGCAAAGAATTTAAATACTCTAGAAAACAAAACTTGAATATCATTACCATGGTGACCTTGACTTGCAGCAATATGCAAAGGATCAAATAGCGACCGGTTCTTCTTGGTGAGAGTTTCCTTATTTGAATATTTCAACAACTCTTTAACCACATCAAGATGACCCTTATCAGCTGCAGTAAACAGTGCGGTCTCTCCTAACTCGTTCACCTCATTGATCACACATGCCCTAATCTCAGCCACCTCTTCCTCAAATTCAGCCCCGCTCAACATCCCAACCATTTGAGAGCCGATATCGTCAAGAATTTGCTTCACGGCTGCAAGATCCCCCTTTTGGGCTGCCAAATGAAGCTCGGTGTCATTGTGCCTACCTGTCACCTGTTTCACATATTTCTTCTTCCCCGCTTGATCAATTCGCTTCCCAGAATTTGAGAGGACCAATGCAGGGGCAGTTGATGAGGGAGATGGGGATGGAGATGGCCCACCCTGGGAAATTTGGGTGGTTATTAGAGTGATCTGCCCCTTCTCCAAGTCTTTATCACCTGTTTAACATTTCAGATTCTCTTTAATCAGGAAACACAATCAAATGCAACCTCTTTTTACCAATGTCCAATAGAATTTAATGTAGAAGCATTGGGCATATGACTAATGACTAATAAATCAACAGCCTTAGTTTCAGAACTGTTAAGGGTCCTTTTGGAGACCAAGAAATGCTAGGGAAATAAAATAGGCATCAAAGAAGAGAAGAAATGTGGGTGAAGCTAAGATAAAATCAACAAATTTAATCTAGAAATCTGCTCATATTCATTTCATTTTTTTTTAATTTCTGTTATATAAAGACTACGAGAAATCTACAAAATATGTTGGACTTTTTTTTAGGAAAAAAATCAAAATTTCATCCCCCCTTTCATTTCATAGAGGTATTCTCCTCGGGGATCCAAACATAGCCTAAGGAAACACCAAATCGTTTTCTTCTTCTTCTTCTTCTTCTTCTTCTTCCAGTCATTATAGTTTCATCAGGACAAGA